CATTTGTTGATTTGTTGATGATAGCCATTCTGACAGGTGTGAGATGGTACCTCATTGTTTTGATTTGCATCTCTTGGATGATTAGTGACTTTGAGCATGTTTTCATATGTCTCTTGGTCTTCTGTTTGTCTTCCTTTGAAATGTGTCTTTTAGAGTCCTTTGTCTATTTTTTGATTGGATTGTTTATCTTCCTTTTGTTAATCTGTATGAGTTCCCTATAAATGTTGGATTTTAAACCCTTATCGGTGATAACATTGACAAATATGTTTTCCCACACAGTGGGTTTTCTTGTTGTTTTGAAATTTTATTTTCTTATCTGCCCATTATTACCAGGAGTTAAATCTTGTCTATTTTGAGCATATGGGAGGGCTACTATTTATTTACAAATGAATTATTTAGTGCAGATAATTGTCAACTGCAACTGAAGGCCAGACTTGGCACCTTTAGATACAATAGAAGAGAGTGAGAGAAGAGGATGACACACAGCCATTAGTAAACCTGGCTCTCACTGGCTGTATTATTATACCAATGATAATGACTAAGCTGTTAGGAAGTGTCCTTTGATTTTACGTGCAGGTGTAAAACAAAGACTTGGAAACTGTTCAAGAAAAACAAATTTTAATCTAACCTGCATAAATTAGAAAGTCAAAGTTTTCAATAATTTGGCTTAAAAAGACATAAGACCAAATAGTTTGCAATAGTTTTGATTCTCCAAATCATTTTGATATAAAATGCCCCAAAGTGCCATGGGGATTGGCAATGAAACGAGTGTCTTTGCACCAAATGCCTCTAATATAGCATCAACCTTAGGCTCATCTCCTGGAAAATCATCTGCTAACAGTCTGGGGAAGCCTTGCTCCATGGACTGGCTGTTTTCGTCAAATCTGTACTGAATGAAAGAAATACAGCTCAACATGGTGCAGAGGCCCCATTGCATGCAACAGTATGAAGTAATGTGATTGCTCCAGAGTAGAATCCTGGATAGTTCTCAACTGGTGGAAGGAAGTGTTAAACATTTTTATGGCTAAAAACGTATGTGACTTTCCTGAACTTTAAGCTTAGCACATAAATCAGAATTTCCTCAGGAACAAAGACATAACGCTATTGTACAGAGGCTCCATATGTATATCTGAGGTTGGTTTTCTAAGCCTAGACACACAGAGCCGAAGTGCCCTTCTGCCGGAACGGCATGAAGACTGCATACACATAAGACGCAAAGTGAATTAAATCATATGACTAAAAATAAACGTTTTGTTCTCTATCACACTTGCCCCATAAACTTTGTCTTCACAGCCTGACACACATAAGCTTCCTATGGTGGCCGTTGTCTAGACCTCAGTTAGTCTCTCCTGTTGTCTTTTTAAAAAAGATTTTGAATTGATTTTGAGAGAGAGAGAGAGAGAGAGAGAGAGAGAGAGAGAGAGAAAGAGAGAATGAGAAATTCATGTGAGAGCGAAACATTAATCAACTGCTTCCTGGGGATGGAGCCTGCAACCCCAGCATGTGCCCTGATGGGGAATCGAACTGGCACCTTTCAGTGCACAGGATGACACCCAACCAACTGAGCCACACTGGCCAGGGCTCTCCTGATGTTTTTTGGAGTCTGGATATATGAGCCAGTAATCAGCTGTTGTGAGAGCCCTTTATTATATTTAAGAAGTTGGTTCCCTCATAATCAGAAAGTTTGAAGTTAGACAAAATTAGAGGGTAAGAGTGGTGAATATCCTTTAAAGAAAGAAATAATTTTCTTAATTAATTAAACTGCATACCAAGTCATTCCTACTGTGTCTTACCTTCAGTATTTGTCCTCTACAAAGAAGTATGTTTTCTTTTCCTTATCGGAAACAGCTGCATCCATTTTCCTTATGGCTGGAGAAAAACTCAGGGTGTGGATGCCTCTTGGATACCCTGCTTGCACCTCATTTCCTCTGATGGCCCAGAACTGCTTTCCTATTGAAAAAAGAAACCCAAGAAATTCTGAGAGAATCCTTTTGGTTTTAGAAATGATTTTAGTGCATTATTATGAAAAAGAGGAAGTCTTGGTTTTAATTCTAACCACTAACCTAATGGCCAGTTCATAGCTGACACTTAATAAATATTCTCTGAATGAGTAAATGAATAAATGAATGAACAAATAAATGGTCCACTGCCCTTTCTGGGTTTTATATTTATTATTTATAACTAACAGTGTCCCGTCCTAGTTATTTCTTATAGTTTCAGTGACTTCTTAATCTAAATTTCTAACCTAGTACTCTTTCTTAAGCTTTGCATCAACATATCAGTCAGTTCCTTTTGACTTCCTCTTGGACATCTCATGGTCACCTGGTCCAGTCTGTGCGGCTTCTAAATACCTTGGGCATCCATACACATTTGAGTGAATCAGGACAATGCAATTCTACCAGTCTCTCTGCTTTTACTTTGTTATACTACCCTTCCCATGCCAAAAATGGGGTTGTTAGAAATACATATTTTATAAAAATCCCCATACAGTTTGAAATTTAAAAATACTCCCAAATAACTTATGAGTTGAGATAAGATTGTTTTAAATGAACAAGTGAAAATTTTATATATCAAAACTTGTGAGATAAAACAAAAGCTGGGAAGAAAGGGATATTTATAGGTATAAATGTATATTAGAAAAGAAGGCTACAAATTAATAAGGTAAGTTTCACACTTAAGTTATAAAAAGCAGTAATAGAATAAATTCAAAGAAAACAAAAATGAAGGAAATAGTAAGGATACGAATAGAGAATAACTAAATAGAAAATCAAAATACAATAGAGATGGTTAACAAGTCCAAAGTCAGTTCTCTGCAAAGACCAATGAAATTGTCAAATACCTTATTGTCTTATGAAATTGATTAAGAAAAGAATAGCACAAAGGTTCAACATTAGTAATGAAAAAAGAAACACAACTTTAGCAATAATCAAAATGACAATAAAATAATACTATGATAATTTATAACAGTAGATTTGAAAACAGAATATATTGACAAATTCCTGGGAAAATATGTTTATAAAACTAACTCAAAAAGTAGAAACTCAAATGGCATATAAGAATAGAACAGACTGAAACGGTAGTTCAAAAGTCTGACAAAGGAGCCACAAGCCTGGATAGTCCATTAGGTACCTAATCCATCCCTGCACTGACACATTATGTTACCTCTTAAGGCTTTACAAAGCAGGGCATTTCTACTCATCTTCTGCTTCTCCAGGAATATCTTGGCTATTTGTGGTCTTTGCTCTGCCATGTAAAATTATGAAACCAGTATGTCAAATTCCATGAAAGCTTTGGCATTTGAATTGAAAACTCCCTGTATCTATAGATAAATTGGAAATTTTACTATATTAAAATTTTCTATCCACAAATATGAAATATCATCTATTTACTTAAGTCTCATTGAGTATTTTTAAATGGAGCTTATTATGTTCTTTGTACACATCTTTTTAAAGCATTAGCAATATCTTACAGTAATAAAACATCCAAAATTTAACACACTGAAGAAAATTCATGGCCTGATGAAATGATTGCAATCTAATTTATTTCAACAAATTTTATATGGTACTTATCTTTCAAAACAAAAATGGTATCTTTGCTAGGAACTTCATATGCAGCATCCAAGTCTGATGGAGGAGAGGACCAAAGTGCAGAAATCAAATGAAATTCACGTTGGAGGTTCCAGGGGGATCTGCGTCAAAAATACCAGTAATACGTAAAAATTAATTACAATCCTCTTTTCTCTTTAGATACATTTTTAAACTGAACATATTTTTCTCTTTATTTCAATCTATGCCAATTCAGAAGTCTGTATTAGACTGTCCTCCTTAAGATCACAGGGTAATAAAATCTGTGGTGGAAAAGTGTTAACAATGTACTAATTATTTAGCATAGTGTCCATTCTAAAACTCTGTAAAATATGTGTATATTATTGAGCTCATTTTGAAAAAAAAAGTAGCAGAAAACAATAGACTTATTTATGCTTGAATGTGAATAGAACATCTTTGTAAAGAAACAAAGGAACCCTAACCGGTGTGACTCTGGATGATAGAGTGTCGACCTACGGACTGAAGGGTCCCAGGTTCGATTCCAGTGAAGGGCATGTACCTTGGTTGTAGGCACATCCTCAGTAGGAGGTGTGCAGGAGGCAGCTGATCCATGTTTCTAACTCTCTATCCCTCCCCCTTCCTCTTTGTAAAAAATCAATAAAAATATTTGAAGAAAAAAAAGAAACAAAGGAAATTGGTAGCAGTGACTGCACAGGTGGGGAGGACTGGGGATTGCATAGGTCAGAGATGGGAGTTTTCTTTATCTCTGTCTTTGGGTGATGTTTTAATATTGTGCCATAAGCATGTATCACTTTACCTAAAATTAATGAATTTTAAAAAAAGTATTTGTTAGCAAAGGTAAAGATGTAGTGCTGCTTCTAAAGAGTCACCAGAGCTTTTTGAAGAAATTACATATGATATTTAAATGCAACAATTACTAATTCACTTATTCAACACATTTGTTGAATGTGCCAGGCCTATTGTAGGCTCAGGGAATATAAAATTTTTTTAAAAAAGAACAGATTAAACCAACTATCTCCTTTGACCTTGCATTTTAGTGACCAAGAACAGTCTTTATATGTCTGGGAAAATGATCTGGATGATTTTAAGAAAATGATAAAATGCAACAAAATCAGATATAAATGATTTTAAGATGTAGTGGATGGAAATATTTTGTTTAACAATCTGTCAGTTTTTCCTTTCTGAGCATTATACATTAAAAACAAGATAGGAAAATATAATTTCCTGGCCTGACCTGTCTTTAAAGAACAGGATTTCTCCCCTCAGGGTGGTGACAGCGTCCAAGGACAAAGTGGGGTCACACTTGGCCGGTGTCTGAGGACTTGGGGATTCTGTGGGCTTCACAGGGTCATCAGGGGAAGCCGGGGGAGGTCCTACAGAGAACAGACATGAGGATACAAACATTAGGAGGGTGTGATGCTTCTGTCAGGGCACATACTTCCCAGACACTCCCAAAGGGCTCTGAGCTGACTGCAATTTATTTATTTATTTATTTATTTATTTATTTATTTATGCACTCATTCTTTATTGATTAAGGTGTTACATATGTGTCCTTACCCCACTTTTGTCCCCCCACCCCCATTCATACCCTCACCCCCCTGGTGTCTGTGTCCATTGGTTAGGCTTATATGCCTGCATACAAGTCCTTTGGTTGATCTCTCCCCCTAACTTTCCTGATGATCATCATGGGAAGGAAGCTAGGATGCCTCATTTCCCCAGCATCACTCACCATTCAGGGACTGAATGCCAGTCACATCATCTTGAGAAAGGCGGAACCTGGCCAGGTCTGTGGGTGAGTTGTAGACTGAGTACATCAAAGCTTCAGGGTTGGCCGAGTGTTGGAGACCCAGGGAATGGCCAACTTCATGAGCAGCAACGAGGAGTAAGTTGGTCCCTATTTAGGAAATCATAAATAAGAGTTACTTATGTCTTAAATGTATGTACATTACAGATGTCAGCTGTGTATTGTATTTGTTTACTTTTAGGAAGCACACAGGGCTCTTCCCCCCTTTGTTTTTTGGTTAATCAGTCAATTGACTACAATCCTAATTCCCATAGTCACCATGATTAGTGATTTTCCCTCTACTTAACCCTCCCCTGAGAGCCATCAGGGAACCAGGTCTTTGAGCTAACCTGTCTCCAGGTGGGGCACACTTCCTAAAATACAGTAAACCAGTGGTTGGCAAACGCTGACCACTGCAGTAAACCCTTACTTTCTTTGCTACAAGCTTCTTTTTGTGTCTTATTGGACTCTGATGTTGGCAGGCAAACAGCCTCTTTAGTCCAGTAACAACTTCTGTTTTTTAAAAGTAAAGAAGTAATTGGGAAAGACTTTGTATGCATATATGCAGAACCCACGGACACAGACAATAGGGTGCTGAAAGCCTGGGGCGGGGAGGTGGGGGCAGGCTGGAGGGGGTCAATGGGGGAAAAAGGGAGACTTATGTAATACTTTCAACAATAAAGAATTATTTAAAAAAATAAATGGGATCAAAGTTAAAAAAAAGGAATTGGGGGACATTTTCCCAATTGAATATAAACAATAGCCAGGACACATGTTCATATAGACTTAATGCAATACACTATCCCTTGGATATCTGCAATTTGATATTATGAGAAGTTATTCTTAATGAAGGTTCTAAGATCAGACAAAACCCACAGTCATCAAAGAAATACTTAATGGCCCATTCTATATTTTGTTTACCAAAACAGAGAGTAAACTTTTAAGACATCTGGAAATGTTTTTGATAATAATTAAAATAAAAACATATTCTGTAGATGCTTGACTCATTGGAAAATCCAGAACATCCCATTTCTGGAATGATCTTAGTTATCAACATTTTCTAAGTATAAAAATAATCAGCACCAAAGTTATTCTGAGAGAAGTACAACTAACCTGATGCATCCTTTGTCCATTGTTTGTCATCATCAAAGAGAGCATCTCCATTAAGCCCCGGCCCAGGTAAATAGGCATGAGCCAAAACCTTTCCAGGTCCATCAAAAGAGTAAAAGTCTCTCTGCTCTAAAACAGAGAATGTTTTATATTGAAAAGATAGATAATTAGAAACTCTATGGACCCCTTTTCAATAAAACATCACCAGGTAAATTGATGCATTTCATGTTTATTTGTTTCTTACTTCTAACTGCAAAAGTGATCATTATGTCAGCCTCGCCTTCATAGATCCTGGAGAATGTCAGTGGAGTCACCTCCTCCCAGACTTTCAGAGCTTTCTCAATGGCAGAATCAACAGCATCTCTTGGCAAATCCGGTGTGTAATTCACAATCCTGAATGAGGACAATTGAAGAAGATAATATTTTCTCCTGACATAGCCCCTTGTAAAATCTCAGGATTATGTGGAAACCTCTCAGGACCCATTCATTACCTGTAGGTGAGGTGAGTCTTCCTCCACTTGGGCATGCCGGGAAAGGTCCTGAATTCTCCGATGTCAGGGACTCCGCACCTGGGCTTGCGCATCACCTCCAGCGTGTCTGAGTCCAGCTTCCCTGTCACCGTCAGCCCCAGGAACTTCTGCATTTCTTGTTTTTTTTTTTTTTTAAAAAAAGGGATACTGTCCTTCCTTCTAGCAAACTGTTTTACGTCTTTTGCAAGGTTACAGTACTTTTGTAGATATTGCTAATGGATCAATAAATGCAGTTTTAAGGTAATTTTTATTACTTTTAGCAATTTATCCAAATTTCAGAATTTATTTTAGTCATTGCCTAGTTTATTAAAGCAAAAGTAGTTATAGCACTTAATCTTATTTTTAATTAAGACCCTCACTTAATTATTTTATCTTCATACTAATTTTTAAGTTCATTGCAATTTAGCTTGTTTGCCAAGTAAGCAATTTAAAGTTAAAAATTCGGGTCCTGCATGCTTAAAGGGAAAGAAACCCTCCTTGACACGACTACTGTGGAGAGTTTGGGGGAATATATATAACTTTACCCACTCTGTTAATATAGACTTGGTTCAAGACTGAAGTGGAATACATTCTTTTGACAAGTAACATATGAACCAGAAATTATTTGAAGATTAAAATGAGCAAGTTCTCCTTCCCTAATTCTTTTAACTAACTAAATTCTGAAGCAAGAGACATTTCATGCACTTTTTTATTTGCTATTTTCATTTATAAAGCCCCAAAGCTGCTGCTACTATTTCATTGTAAAACCTTGATTCACTCTAGCCCCTTACAGTGCCTTTCTTTCCTTCTCTGTGAAAATAAAGGGACTTCCCACCTCCAGCAACTTTAATATTGTCTAATGCTAAATTGTAACTTAAGGAAGTACCTGGACAAGATCCATGTTGGGGGCCCTCCTCCTCCTCCTTCTTCGCTGCTCCATTCAGGGGATGAGTCTAGCAGACTGACAGACATAACAGCACAAGGATGATAAGACGGTTCATTCTCACTCTTCTTCCCTCAGCAAAACACTTTCCTTGCTATTGGTTTCTGTGTCTACCTTCTACTGGCTGCCCTTCTATAAGGTGGCCATGCTCTATCTAAACAGCATGATCATCCATCTGTTTTCTTAATCTGAATGACATCAGGAATGTTCACAAAAATTCAACGTAAAGATGATAGAGCTAGCCTACATCAGTAATTTCCCCCAACCTCCTAAACTTGAGTGATAAAAGAATGATTAGTTTCCAGGAATTGATATTATGTATTGGTAAAGGGGGGGGAATTGACCAGGTAATTTTTGTTTGTGTGTTCACTGAGAGATAGCTGACAAGTCTGGTAAAATGTCATGTGTTTAGAAGACAATTAAAAACCAGCGTGATTTTCTTTTGTAAAGTCAGTATTTTAAACTCAAATATAAGTGCATTAGGAATAAGTAGATACATGGAAAGAAGTTTTAAATACAATTATGCTCTAAAAATGGGAATTGCTGTCTAGGAAGATATTGGAAGCAATGTTTTATTCCTTGAGTCCTTGTTTGAAAGAGCTACTCTAGATTTTCAGATGGACTTACTGGCCCCAGAGGAGGAGGAGTGTGAGAAGGAAAGGCCTGTGGAGAAGGGGAGGAGCATAATGGTTCTTCTCCGGTGTTCACTCAATTTTGAAGGGATATTATGGATTTCAGAATGAATAATATGTTTCTAGTAACCACTCTCTGAAAGCTTATTAAATGGAAATAAATCAAATTGCATATTGGGCTGAAATGTTCCTCCTACTTTTTCTTCTTTTTTGCTTTATAAAAATTTTCTTTTTATCCCCTTTTTCTCAACCCCCAAATGCAGAGGAAGAGATGGATTGAGATTTCTAATGAAGAATGATTTCAAATCCTCCCTATCTAACCACTCACTTCTGCCACTATAACTTTTTACATAGTAAGTCTGCAATAACTGTTTTCATTAAATTAATCTACTACTATAGAGGGCCCTAAAATTCTTATTATATAGAATGAGGCACCTCGGGGGTGAGGCCGACGGAGTCCTAACGTAGCATGCCCGACTCCGGAGACCGGTTCAAGACGCGGATCTGAGTTTTATTGTTTAAGTGCAGCAACATATATAACATTCCAGACCAATCAGAAGTTTACACCATCCTTAGGGCAACCAATGGTAGGAAAGATAGGGTACTATGAAAGGGCTCTAAGGGGGCTTACTCAGGCGGGCGCTGCCACTTCCCAGTGTGCTCAGGAAGCTTGTATAGGCGGAGTGCGCTCACGCCATTGCATCTGCCACTGCACTGAGATAAATCTCCTGAGCTCTTCCCACAATAGAATTATATATTTTTTTCACTAAAGATAAATTAACTCTACCACACCTGAATTATATAACTTTAAAGTGATGGGAGACTAAATTAATGAGTGTGCAGGAAGGATTTTCTGGGCACGGCCCACCACTTCTACCTTACTTGAGGTAGACTGGACAGGGTGGGATTTCTAGGCTCTGGGAGAGCCAAGCTATGCACTGAGTCAGCCTAGTCAATCTGTGGCATAATGCAGCTGAGAAGTTTGCTCTGCAGCATGATGCAGTGTAAATGGACATCAGCTTGAAAATTAGAGGGGTGGGTGAGTGGTAGCATTGACCACCAGACCTGGACTTAGAGCAAGTATCTATTTTCCATGAGCCATTGTTTTTTCATCTATAAAAATGGGGTTGGATGTAATCTTATTCACCGGGTTATGCTGGGAACAAGTCTTCTCTTATTCACTACAGTGTCTTTACTAGACAAAGCTTGTTGGCATGAAACATCTGTGGCAATGCTCTCAGTCACTTAGCAAGGTCTGAGATGCCTCATCTTTGAGTCATAATTTTATTGGTGTTGGCAACATCCTGTTGATGGATCTTATTATGTGGTTAGGATACAATAAAAGTTCATGTACTAAGAGCTGTGATTATGATTGGCTATTCTCCAAGTACATGTCTCATGGGAGTGATGTTGGTATATAAGCTTATCCTATATTAAACCATCACACCTGGAAAAATTAATGATTTGAGGTGAGAAGGAACCTATGTTTGTCTTTAAGAAATTCATTACTTGTTAAAATTCTGGAGTATGTACTAGTATGTGGTCAGGCAAGTATAGCATTATTCTTACAGCAAGGTGAAACCTTTCTAGGTATACAGCTGCTACTGTATGCCAGGCCCTAAATATGTTATTTCTAATCTTTAGAACAACTCAACAGGGTAAAGATTAGGATCAGAAAAATTAAGTAATAAGTTAAAGGTCAGCCAAATAACCTGATAAGAGATTACTCAGAATCCTAATTATTACAACTTACGTTTATCTAAAACCTCTTGCCTTAAACGTTGGCTCTTGCCTAATTTCTTTCTCTCATGTTTTGACAGTTGTTTTACTCATTCCTAAAACTTTCCCATGAATTTGCCTTCAACTTACCTCCTTACTCTCTGTTCCCCCCACCCACCAAATATCTGATTTGGCTTTTCTTTTTATCTATGTCCACCTCCTTTGTAACCTGTGGCTTTTGGCCTGAGCTGTACAGATGTTGCTCAGATAGAACATATATCTACAATCCTTCACATTCTATAACTAAGACTACTCACTTAAAGGTGGAAGATGGTCCAATTCTTAGAAAAACTGGTCAATTTTCAACAACTAACAGCCTCTGATACTAAAATTGTGTGTGTGTGCATATATATATATATATATATGTATGTATATGAAATATATATAAGATTATATATGTATATGAAAATATATATGTGTATATGTAAATATAAAAACCAAGCAACAGGAATGATGGAATGACTAGAACAACTCGAACAACCAGAACTACCCCAACTGCCTGTGGCCCCTCCCCCTAGTTGGCCCCACCCCCAATTGACCTTCCCCACCCCGATTGGGGGTAGGGCTTGTGTCCTAAATAACTTCTATTTCTTACATATTTAAGGCCTGTCACCTATGTCGAGGTGCGGGGGTTCCCATATAGGTGCTGCTCCTAAGTGGGACATGCACAGGTGGCCTGGACCATCCGTTTGAGGCTTGTGCCAATACCTTCTGGTCAGACACTTTCACAGATACAGCACCAAGCTCTGAGTCGAGGTGGAAAAATTACAAACAGGTTAGATGCAAGCACACAGGGGGTTTATATACCAGTTCCTAATGAGTCTCAGATGCTGGGAAGGATCCACCCTGTGCTGTTCGCTGACACACACACAAAGGGGTAGATGGCACTGTTGGCTGCTGGCTCTTTCATCGATGGACAGTTAATTGGGCAGAGTTTCGTGCTGGGAACCAAGAGGTGAGCACACACAGGCCCTCACGCTCTGGCGACAGGAGAGCTATGCGCTGGAGAGCGACATGCTGCTGGGTCCGTCAGACTGTCTGGTTATATACCCCTCTGTAGGCGTGGTCATCGTTGGTGTGTGTGTTATCAGCGGCTGCCATATGTGGATCCACTCGGGGGTCTGCTAATCTATGGGTGTGTACAGGCTTTGGGCGTTTCCATCAGATAGGTTGTTTACCAGTACTAGGGGGATACAAGGGTGCATTCTTGGGTCTCATACAGTATTCCTATATCTAACATTAGGTACTATAACAGTCCACGCAGGGTTACATGCTTTAAGTCTTATATTCTAAGGTCCTAACATTAAGTACCATAATGATTACTATAACAGCTGACCAGCCAACCTACCATGTTCCCTCCCCCCTGCCGGCCTGGCCACGATGGCCACCACTGGGACAGGTCGGCCAGACTCCACCCATGCACAAATTTGTGCACCGAGTATATGTATATATATTCCTAAAATCCTAAGTCAGCTGTGGCATGACGCTAATGACAATATTTTGCAACTTCTTGTTTCTTTGGATACTGATTTTATTACAGACTTGGTTATTCTGCTGTCACAGACTGAGAAGTCCCCCTCATTTCCTATGCTTTTAATACCAATTTGACTGCTTCAGAATGAGAATACAGCTTATTTCTGGACTTTTACCCATTTTATATCCCTCAGAGTAATTTAACTAAATATTTTAGGTCACCAGTACTTGCCATGAAAAAGATTATCTGCTGAAGGAAGCAAAGTATCAAAGTAAGGGTTAGACATTATCTCAGAATTGTGGCTTC